GACTTGCGGACATTCTAGGAGAATGATAGAAGAATGCAGTTGTAATTTATAATCTTCTTTTCAAATGCTTTTGTCCACGATTTACTTGAAATGGCTGTAGTCGTGTCAGGGACAAATTGTAGACTTCATTGCGTAATTTCTTTAAACCAAGGACAAAAAATATTTTTTACGGCTTATGTGCCACATTCTTGTTTCCGTTAAAAGATATATTGAGCTTATAATGTCTACACAACACACAATAGCCGTTTTGTTGTTGAGCTGTCATCCTTTTCTACGTCCCGAGCAGCGGGTGGTGTAGAGTATCAAGCCGAGTTAGGTTCGGTTAGGTTCAGCAACTAAACCAACTCTGCGGTGTAGCTGAGAGTATCACGCAAAATTGAAGGCGCTTCGTTGCGTTCTAGCAGATCAGCTTTTTAGCTGTCACAGTGTGCTTGAGCAAATTTTTATAAAATGGGAATGTCTTTTGATTGAACCTTCAAAACAATGCATAAGGATACTTCCACTAACGTTCTAGCTAAAAATTAAAATATTCTATTAAGTCCCTGGAAAATAAAGTCCCTTTGAAGTTTTCGAGGGTCAAATTCAGAGGCGCTAAAGGAGGAAACATCTCTACACCCCTTTCCTAGCTTGGATGGAATTAAAACTTTTAGATAGTGTTCCTTGGCATAAGAAATGATAAATCTGAAAGTTTCAAGACCCCTAAAAAATTATTTCTGCTGCAGCGTTGCCAAGTTTGAAAAGTTGAGTCAAGTTTTGAAGTTATATGTAGAATTTCCGGATAAATGTTTTGGATTATCCCCTAACAATTTTAGGAAACATTAACTTTAATTCCGTGAAATTTCATTTTGCATTTATGCGATAACGTAGCCAGTTACGGTGATTCAATGGACGCCATATTTTGTGTCAGAACGGCATGCGATAAATCGCATCGATTAGTTCCATTTTTTCAGCAACTCGTCATTTTTCTCGACCTTTGAGATCGCGATTCTGTTGCCAAGGGACTAAATATTTCACTTACCAATTTTGACAAACAATTTAACGTAATAAAGGCGTGGTTTTTTTAGAGGGAAAATATCGTATTCGATACTAACATCAAAACTGCATTCGAATGCGATATTTTTCTTCCGAAAAAACCACGCCTTTATTACTTTGAATTTGTTTGTTAAAATTGGTAGTCAATTCTTTAGTCTCCTGATAACAGAATTGCGATCTCAAAATCCGAGAAAAATGATGAGTAGCTGAAAAAATGGAACTAATCGATGCGATATATCGCATGACGTTCTAACACAAAATACGGCGTCCATCGAATCACCTTCGTAAAATAATTACACCTATTTTTTCCCTGCTACAACTCAATGGGACTTGGTTCTTTTCTAGCATAAAATGAGTCCAAATCTGGTGTAGTTAGCGTGACAACTGGCAAACTGATCTAGTGAAGTGAGACACTCCGTCTTATTCCGGTTGACAGGGAAAACGAATCGGTAGTGTCAATTATCTGATACACCCCGGAATAAACGTACTCTTACGTGCCTCAAGACTCATGAGGAAATTGAACTTGTTAGGTTTTAAGATAGACCGGATCAAATAATGTGCGAGGTGAGAAACGGGGGGAAGGTCGGCATTCAGGACACAAGCGCGGCAGGAATTAATGCCGGAAGAAAATTGAAATAGTGTATTTTAATTAAGCAGCACCACTTACTCGTATTTATAAAGCGCGAGTGTTACTTAAATTTTCGTTCAGAAACGGATACGCGCGCCGTAATATTTATGCCCTCCCCTCCTCCTCCACCTCTCCACCTCCATGATACTCCCATCATCTTCAGCTTTATTTCGCTCCCGAGTCGAAATATTTCTTTCCCACTCGCGAAATACATTTTCCGAGCTCTCAAAGTAAGTTACGCTGTAAAGCGACGAGTGTTAAAGACGTGCGTTTTCGAAATCCGACCGAGAGCTTTCATCAAGACACGTTCATTGTTCGTGGAAGTCGTCTCTCTCTCTGGCACTGCACTAAACCAAAAATCTGGTTCACGTTTTTAATTTAAATTAAGTTTTTGTTTACCGACTGATATTGGTCGATCGACCAACCGAGACCTCACGACTTTCTAACTTTTTTTTCAATTTTTTTTCTTGCTCATTTATTGTTGTGTGTTTTTTTTCTTCATCTTTGTTGCCGTGTTTGAGGGAAAGTATGAAAATGTTTTCGAGTCATTAAATACAATTTAGTCCTAAAATTTTATGAAAAA